CTGAGCTGCCAACAGGATACTACGGTATGTTTACGTATGTCATCTTGTCAAGCAATTCATCATAACAGAAATCGTTTCCATTCTAGTTAACGGAAGCGGATTGACCTGAACATTTCACAAGAGGAAATATATGAGCTGTATTTGTTTTGTCTTAAGTGAAACCATATAGTCTGTGACGGGCATTTTTTTTCCAAATTTTCGCGGCATACGGCTTCTAAATTGTGTAATTCTAATCTTTTTACCATGTACCTTATATCACATTATCTACTTTAATTGTGGTCTCTAAGCAACCACATAATGATTGACAGCTGACATTTTCACCTCCCGGAGAGCTAGCGACGAATGGGCGTAGAGAAGTGTCAATCGTGGATCGTACATCGCAAAACATAACACCTGACTAATGGCGGGAAATGCTCCTTGAAGTCTGCACTTGACAACATGAATATCGTCTACAGTCGCCTGATAACACAAGTCGTTATAGATCGAGCTAGGTCGAGTAATATCAGTACACAGTACAAATACACGCACACAACCGAGTGACGATAGCCATACTAAACACATTATCGGCATACTCCGTAAGATAGCGATAGTTAAAGGGGCTTTTCAAATCAATCGGTATCAAAGCGCGATGAGGTTTACTTCCTGCTTCGTCAAGCTTCCGTAACTACTGATCATGTGATGTGCCACCTCTTCGCCTGTCGAGGCAAATCTGTGGCGGCGCTAACCTTTCGTTACTGTGGGTACAAATAGGGTACAGGCAGACTCAATCTGGTCACTGCAGGGCAATTATTGAAAAAAACAATTGATTTAGTGCATTCTGACACATATTTTGAGTTAGGCAAAAAAAATTTGGGAAGGGGGGGTTGGTGTCAAAGTTTTATCAAAATTAATTACGATGAGGTTCTTTTTTGCAACAATAGGCCTATTATCATGTGTTATATTTTTATGTTCTGAACTCTCTTAGGGGTGTGCAGAAAATGGAACCAGTTAAATGGAACCATTTGAACATGAATGAACATTACTGTCTGCAGTAGTGTCTGTTATCTCAGTATAGAATAGATCGGTAACATCAAGAGCATTCGTACAAGTTTTGTTTGGAGGGCAGTGTCAAAGAAAAATTGAAATGATGCATTCTGAAGTATATCTGAAAAATATGTAACGGTTAATTCGGAAATAAATTGAAGCGGTTATTACAGCATTTTAGCATTCAGAAAACTGCATCTGGGAAGGGACAAAATGGCTGTTTGAACACGTTGATATTATTTCGGGTTTGCATTGGTTGCATAGCCTACTTGATTGATTTCAGTTTACTATTTACATTGTCCTTGACAAAGTAACTTTCGATCGCCAAAAAGCTCACATCTGTCCTATTATCGACATGGGTCTTCTCAAAATTATATTTTCTAACAAAAGACAGAAGCTTCCATTAATGATGATGATTTGTCGGTCTTCTTCCATCTCGTCGGTTCACTTTCTTATAATTTCTCTGGCTTCTTTAAAGATGTCTCATTGTGGTCAGTGCATTATTCAGGGTTTCCCTTTAACAACCATGTGCAGTAAGACGGCTAGAATTCATAACAAAATGCTTTATCTAGAAAAGGGGGACATATAGCAACATTCATACAGACAATGATTCTAATGGCTTAAGCTGCTAGTTCTATATAAAACCTAGTGTATCTTTTCCTGGCATATCCAACTTGGTTAACATGGTGCTTCGGAAGCAGTGAGAACACACTGTTCACGTCAGTCAATATACACATTCATTTTTGTCTATCAGAAACCGTTCGAATATTTTTGGAAATCATAAAACAGCTTTTACCGTTATTGTTTTTTGAATTTTAGATTTTTAAACAGAAGCTACAAAGCTCAAAATTTAAACTCGTATTTGTATTCTAAGGCATTTTAAAATGTCTGTCATTGTCTTGGTTCGTCACTTTTTTAGAAACGAATCACCCTGGCTACGGCCCTTCTTTCTATTTTCAAAGGAATAGAAAAACGTCACTGTCAGGTTTATATTGGCCTGGTGAAATTTGCTATAAATTATCGGCAGAATTATGCATCAGCGTTCACTTGCAACATTTAACCTTCACCCGTTGATTATATTTATATTATATTTTACAATCTCTTTATACAAAAACATGTAACCTTCACTGACGCACGCTACATTTGTATCTTGCAATAAAGTTCATTTGATTCAAAAGTCAGTCACAATCGTTTTGATTAATATTCTGCTTAGCTGCAAATTTAAAATATAACAGGGATTCTTCGGAAAACATAGCAACCTATGCTCAAGTTTTGACATCATTGGTCTAAAGAAAATAATAGACTGACCCCTTTAATAAGACAAAGATAACGCGCGTTTCAGTGCAATTTCAATGTAAAAATTCAGCTGTTGAAAATGGTAAAAGAAACTATAAACGTGATGAATATTGTCAATGTGCTAAATCCACCCTACAAAGAAGTCAACAATAATTTAAAAATGTTTTCTGCCTTGCCGAGTTTTATTTTATCAATGCACGCTCCAGAGACGCCGATAATACCACAGGGCACGCTCATTTATACGGAAATCGTTTTAACAAACTGGTTTTACACGCGAGATCGAAACAAGGCAAGTTTCTCCTAATCGACCGCATTTCTTCCACGTTGTGCTTTTGTGTTGACATTATCCACACTATGGTAAATCCCTTTATTGAGCTCTTTCCTGAAACGTGCTAAGTTACAAGACACTCGGTGTTTATTTCTTTCGGGGAAATTTTTAGAAAATACCAGTTCGTGGACCTGGTGAATGGTTGAAGGGGTTATTACTTCATTCGAGAGAAGAAAATCACTTTTACTTCGATTTTCAATTTTCTTAAGCTGAGCTTTCATTATAATCCTGACGAATAGCTGATTACTAGAATTTGAATGAAGGTTTTGGACAAAGAGTTGAGGTTGGGGTATTGTTAAACTCAAGTCGACGTCTTCAGCTGTTAACCCATAACTCTATAGTATCGCTATCTTTCTAAATTAGAAATATTCCATTTCAAGCGATCCGTAATGTAATAAATTATGAGTCGTGGAAGCAGACTTAATGTCATTTACGGCCAGTTCCTGGTGCCTGTTTATACGTGAGACTTGGCACGCTTGTTATATTATCGTCTGAATTGAACATAAGGGTCATCAGTTTTAACACGCGGTTAATCCCACATGCATATCATTATTGCCTAGCTGTAGCAATAAACTTATATAAAGAACGCTGATTGTGAAGTGTTGTGTGTAAAAAAATTGTAGATTACCAAATTCGTGGCCTGAAGATGTGTTTTTGTCGTCTCTTTCGGTTTAATTTTTTGAATACCAAGTAAAGAGTATTACTTGTGGATTCTCCAGAGGATGGTCTGTTTTTCTAGCTACTCCCGTCAGAGTACTAGTAGAGAGCTATTAAGCATTTTCGACATGATGCATGCAGCTTCAAAATTATTTTTTTACCAAACAGTTTCATCTTTTGAAATATTTGGGTGCCAATGGCAATTTAAATGTAACCAATATGTAGAGAAAATATAGTGCACCAAGGAAAATATTATTAAACTCTGTATGTTCCAGACGTGTATTAATATGAAACCATTTCCGGCTTTCCAGGAAGTAATTTTATTTTAAAGATCGTGGATAGTGTAAAGAGTACGTGAAGAAGGTAGACTAAAAATAAAGTCTCTATACATCATACCCATGTACCGAAAATATATATTTCCAAAACTTATTCTGTTCTGCTCTGTTTTGCATTTGTTTTCGGCGTTAGGTCAGATGCAGTTATTGTGGTCGATTGATTGGCTCGCTTGTGGAGGAAACCAGACAATTCACGTTCTATAACAAATTTAATTTGAAATTTGGTTAACGAAATGTTGAACTCGGTTCTATGGTGCCGGTGCATACATGCATTAATTTTCTTGATTAACTGGACTTACAAAAGCGGTCGCCAACTTCCGGTTAATTCGATTTTTGATTCATGACATTACGAGTGTTATATAATGTACGTTGTCGATCACTATGTTTAGATAAGCTATGTAGGCGTCTACTTGAATTCACGAAGTGTATATCTTTATTATGAATTCCACCATAAAATGGCGATTGTGAAATTCCATTATGCAACAAGCACTTTACTGCTTAATTATTTTTCCTGAACAATTTTTAATAACGGACTATTTTCAAATATTACGTAAACCCAAGCATTCTTCTATTGCAATAGATCTCAATAAGAGAGATACAAAATGACTTTCGGGTCACATTCTGCAATCAGCCAGTGTGCATGATAAGGTGTACAGATTGTGACTTTGTAGATTGAAATATCTTTTGACAATCATTGCACTTGCTTGCTTTTTCTTGGCTTGATGTTCTTCAATCTCTTGAGACGGGGCATGCAATTAAATAAACACGATATAATTTTATATTTTAATAAAAGATCATCAAAACGATTTATCTTTTTGCGTAATAATAATCATAACTCCAACAACATTTTCTTGTACATGTACTTAAAAAACGTGATATTTTAAAGTTAAAAATATGAAATTTATAGCACAAAAATGACAACATTAATATGTGAAACACATACAGGTATAAACACGTACTTATTGTCTCGACCCTTCGAATCCCGAATTTTTCAATCCATAGGTGATGATGCTATAATTCTCAACCTTACGAGAATATTACAAAGCTTCTCGGAACACAGAGCACTATTAAATAACTTATTATTATTATAAATGTTCATTATATTATATTATTTATCACATACATTATTTGTTTGAGCACTACTAGATGATCTCCATATCCGTGTCTAAAACATGATCCCACTTTTACCTCTCAGCATAGCTTGAAAAGAGCTAAAGAGTAATTCATGCTTTCGTTCAAAATGGCCATGTTTGCAAAAACTCATTGCAGCACAGACAGATGTCTGTTTATGACCTTAGTTCTAATGAAGGTACCATAGTCAGTTTTCTACAAGCTTCACATCCACTTAATCTGGCTTCCTGTAGCTTCTTGGTAACAGCTTCAGAGATGAGTACAGCTGGGCCAAGTTTAAGGCCCAGACTTTTGATCATGTGATCTGTGGTCAATAAAACTAATATTCTACCATCTACTCGCTGTTCTCGGAATGTCTGAAAAAAAAATACATTGATATTTTTATTAAGGAGAAATATGAATACCTACAGTTCAAAGCACTGCCAGTTGTGGTCCTTACTGCGCATACTAAAAACCCGCATTGCAAGAATTAGCATTAAGGGTAGTAAAAAATTAAAGGTGTTTTCGCGAAGGGTAAAAAGTGTACTAACCTCAGAATACAGACTGCAACCGTCCAGTCTACTGATAAACAAACACACATCTTCAACAGACCAGTTTCTAATATCTTCCGCTCTATTTCTACAGGTACAGTGATAACCTGGTTTGTTCAGATAGGGGTTCATATAATTTGCGAGATCTTTTCCAGAGTTCAAACTTTCCTCAAGTCTTTTCCGACGATATTCCTCATTTTGAAGTAACGTCGGGTCATAATAATATGGATATGAGGAGGAACACATTGGGTATGAATCCATTCTGAAGTCACTAATTGGATAGTCTAATCGAAGTCTTTTAGATGCAATGTCACTTGAGGTTTCAAACTCTGAATGATGTCTTTTTAAACCGGTAAGGCTTGAACATGGATACGGTAACGAAGACGGTGATGGAATATAACCGAATGGTCGTGGATAATCCATAATTGGAGAAGGATATGGAAGTCTTTGAGAGATCATATGCATGGGTGAAAAACAAGGTGCAGAGATAGCTGGAGTCATTGGCACAGAAGACGGTTGTAGTAACATTGAATCTTTTGGATAAAACGGTGATGGATTGAACATGGTACAGCCGTGGTATGGATGAAGAGTTGGATTCAATGATGGTTCACTTGCTCTCAGATTATAAAGTTGATCTATAGGTGATGGTGGCCTGAAAGAAGAAAGAAATACAATAGTTCATAAACCACCGGAAACAGTCCACATTGCCTATGCTCGTTGATGAATAGCTGGAATTTGAAATTTTAAAAACAGCTAAAACTGAGATCCCCAAAGATTAATACTTCATCAATGATAGTTAGACAACAAGATGAAACAAATGAAAATCTATGGTTCTAGTACTTACATTATATGATGGCCAGATGGAAACATCCTGATGTAATCAGAATACATTGCAGAATCAGGAGAAGCCTCTGGTGGACGGAATGCTGGAACTTCACTTCCTAATCTGGGCATGAAAGCTGGAATGGATTTCGGGGTCATCTTTTCTTTCTCAATTTCTGGTGACTTCCTGTGTTTTTCTGGTGAAGAGCTTGAAGCTTCTGCCTTTGGGGGATCTGGAAAGTGTCTATTTGGTTCCACTTTGGCTTGCTTCGGCTCTTGTTTGATGGGCTCCGAAAGCACAGCATCTGTTATAGGCTTGACCATTGGAGATGAAACTTCTGGAGATTTCTTAACATCGGATTTAGGAGAAGACTGAGACTGTGCTGCTTCTATGGGTTGATGTTTTTCTACTGGGGCTTTAACTGGTGAACCAATAACACTTGGTGGAATTTCAACTTTTACTGTAAGAAAAATATCAAAGTGAGAAGAGAAGAGAACGAAAAGGAAATTGTGTTTCCTTATAGATTTTTGTTGCATATACATTTATTCCTTTACATAAAAAATAGGATTAGACGATCATTTGCCTATAGTACCCTCTCGTTATAGATGTGTGTATCAGACTGATACTTCATCAAATTACTTCTGATGGGAGAATGCATAAATATTACCAAACTTTGCTCTTTCCATTAGTGATTCTAACAGATAACATAACATACAGGTACCTTTCTCAGGACTAAGAATAGTCTGTTCTTTCTGTATGAGAGGCGTTTTAGAAGTACCATCAAATAGAGATGGTTTGACTGGTGATAGGACGGGAACTTTAGGTATAGTAAACGGAGTTGGAATAACAGGACAAGGAACTACCACTTGTACTTTAGGAGCCCGATCTTCAGCTGGAGCTGATAAGGGGCTCTTCATTATATTAGTCGATTTGGATTCTCGTAATGGACTGAAAGAGAAGAAACACAATTCGTGAAATATGGCTGTACTCTAGGTAGTTAAATTTTCAGCTATGTAAGAAACTGGATGGATTGTGAGTGTTATAAGTGTCGCCATCTATGATAAATTCAATTGGCTGAGGTTCATCTACTAATTAATACTTGAGTCCCAATCAAGCATCAAAGCTATAGTACAAATATCAGGTACAAGTACAGAATGTTATGTGTATAGAAGTTGAACAATTACTTCCACATATACAATAACCTAATGACCCTTTTAATCAACAGCTGGAACAGCAATAAAATATTCGACTTGGGAAGTCAAGTCTGCATTTAAATCGTACCAACCTGATCGGTTTGTCTGTTGCTGATTTTTTACTGGATTTCTTACTTTCTTTCTTAACCACCTCATCAGTACCACAGATCGCATCACCGGAAATAGATACATCACCAACTTCCGGTTTAACTTTCCCATCTTTATTGACTGGATGTTTCTTCTTGGTTCCATTTCGGTTACGATTCTGCAAAAATAAAATGTATAAATTAATAACGAAACATATATCACTTTTGTAGTCTCTGTAAAAGTCATGTTTATGTGAACTGGTATACGAGATGGAAACCGAAAACGTGACGTAATAAATAAACATCTCAAATTTATGTAGTTTTGAATATACACTGATTAACTGCCAATGTTTCATTTTTGAGATCTAAAATTAACTGTGTTTGTTCACTGAACATTTAATAGGTTTAAATAGTCCATCTTTCAATTTTAATAGATTTCAGACCAGAAATAATATCTACGGCTGAAATGTGTTAGTTTCTAAAAACTCTTAAAACTTCGCATAATATTTAAGAAGGATTATGCAAATTAAGAACTACAATAGTGCTCATTAAAAATTTATTAAAAATTGCATCATGCAAATTGCTATAATGCTTCACTGCCGACAATGCGATCACTAATTTCCATGCAATAGTGTGAAAAAAATAATATTTTACACTGAAACATGTGTTAAATATATTTTATATAATGAATATTATAGACTTTTTAATTTTATATTTATCTAATTTATTTACAAGATATCTAAAGCTGAAATATTGGTGGCTTAGGCTAGAGGTCTTACAGTTCATAAGTCTTTAGAAAATACAAAGAAGTAATTGTAATTGTAATGTTATGTTTTTGTTGTTGAAATTTTGATATTTTTTTTTTATATGCTTAAAATATGAGTATTTGTATCATGATATTTCAAGTTAATGTTCGTTTAATGAAATAATTCAACCAATAAGTTCCTAAACATTACGAAAACCAAAATGGAATTTCACAGGCAAAGATGGGAGAACAGACACACCCAGGGCCTACGTGAGTTTCATCTACGCAACGTTTTCCAGTGTGCAATAGTTGACCATAGATAAATGACAAATAGATTTAAGCTTGTGAAACGACACAAGTAAAAATGTCATATCTTTAGTATAATACGTTTCTCTTGTGTTTTTATTCTTTTATTGTGTTAATTGCTATGAGAAAATTTCTCCCGCACATAAATCCAAGACAAAGACTCCAGATACAGTTTGGGTAATTATCACCTCGTTATACTCGATTGTTTGAAATAGTTTTAGGGCCTAACTTGCTTGGTTTATTTCTTTCCTACCGGCAATTTATCACTGCTTTAATTCAATAGTTTGTCGCGTGAAATATGCCACAGGAAATATGACCAGAACTTCCGCTAGCGATATCCTGTATTCAAATTACCAACGCTCCCGTCATTGTCATTTCCTTTCCACAATCATCCTGCGTTGTGTTTTCAGTTCGGACTTTTAATAACAGAGTATTTCAAGCGAATATAAATTGCTTCTCTTTCTCCCGGCTAAAAATTGGAATTTATGAGTACCGGCATTGTAGTATTCTTATTCTAACCAAGTAAATCACATTTTCCGTAGTCGATTGGTACTTTAGCTTGGGATTAATAATGCACGAGGCACGACAGCCACGTACGTCTAATCACGCGAAATAGTTAATGAAGGCCTTTCGATTAATGCATTCCCAGAGGGCACGTGCACGCCACGCTAAAGCGATTAAATTGTGTTACGTGGTTCTGTAGCAGCGAGGCGCAAATTTCCGTAGAGAATTGACGCCTTTCGACAGCTCGCTTGTCATTTTAACCCCGAGAGCTTGTGTAGTTTCTTCGATTACCACTTCAAGCATCCAATTTTCACAGCGATCTTTCTAGACTGTCGACTAGAAGTAAAGTAATTAATTTTTTCAGGGTAGTCCTAGTTAGTCAGACTATGCCTCATTCATTCAATCCATTTCAATTTCTATTTACAAAAAGTGTCACGTGACCGGATTTCTGCTCCTATTCTTCCTACCACGTTCCAAGTGAGCGACTCGTATTTCAAATTAAAAACTGTCTAATAAAACGACTTGGTAATTTGGTAAGGCATGTAGAAGGCGCCCTGTAGTCCTTATCGTATATTCACGGCGATTTTATCAAGTCACGCGCTGTCGAATCGAGAAGTCTATTTCCCAGTCTTAAATGCATACCATCTTAGCAAGAAAGCATATATATTGTATTGAATTGTTTCATTTTCAATTTAAATAAAGAAGTTGATCAATCGACTGTCTACAAGAAAAATTGAAATACATCTTCGGTGTTTTTGAGATACATTTTTATGGATCCATAAAGCGTATGGTACGTAGACATACAAATAAAATTCTCGGGAATATATCGGATAATGAAATATATAAATCGATTGTTAAACGACGTGTTGGAATTGATTGCTGTGAACCAGTTTATCTGGAGGCGCCCGTCTCGCCACATAATAACACTCAGTTCGACTAACTACGGCTTCTAATAACCCGAGGCTCTTCCGTAATTACCTCCAACCTATCGTATTCTCCGTAGTTTGCTGGCATTTAACTAGCACGGCGTGATCTCGCTTAGGGCATAACGACTACTGGGATTAAAGGCATTATCGTTAACTGTAAAATCTCGCTATAAACCTATTGGCTTTTTATACACGATACTTTCAACCTTATTTTATCGCTCGCTGTTCACATTAAAAATCGATCGTGCATTATCTAGCATATAAATTGTAATCGCTCGTAAAAAACGACTTTAGAAATGCATACATGATAGGAATCTTCATTTGGTTTCAAGTTTATTTCTATGACTGAACATCCTGATCTGGATTATTTATTTATTTTTCTTAGCGCTAAGCATTGCTTCCAGTACGAAGCAGTTGTAATTTTTACAACGTAATTACTTTGCGGCTTCTTTCGCCTAAAGATAAAATCGTAAACAAAAAACGCAGTATTTGTGATGCGTTTTCACTACGAATTTGTGAAGTTTTAATAAGTGAGTGAAAACTGGCGACACTATTATTGTCAGTAAGTGACGCATGGCTGTCTTTATTTATCTTATCGTAATCTCATCTTTACACACGGTCGAAACCGGGCTACGGATGGCGGCACACAAGAGGATATTGGCAAACCTCTCGACTGTCAATCAATTCTAACAACGCGAGTGTAAGCTGGCCTCACACGTTCTCAACCCACTTTACACAAACACAATCCCAACAATTGATTGCATATCAATAGCGAGTGGTCTCGGCAAGGCGTATGCTGCAACATGTGCGAACTAAATGTGTCATAATTTTAAGAAATTCAAACACTCTACATCCACCCTAGAGCAAAACATGTGAAATATGTTTTTACATACCAATTAACGAAACGAATAGACACAAATCTGCAAACTCCCTTGAACCAAGAATCATAATGATTAAGTTTTTCTTCAAAATGCAAGTTGACTAATTATTCGCTTTAGCTGTCAGGAAAAACTTTATTGAATCGTTCCTCAAATTTCATAGTCGAGTTTTTCCCCTGTTAACCTGGATAATTCCTGGGTATGAATACTATCAAGGTTAGAACTGTTAGTCTGAATATTGTCTAGGTTAGAACCGTTAGTCTGAATATTGTCTAGATTATAACTGTTAGTCTGAATATTGTCTAGGTTAGAACTATTAGTCCGGATACTGTCTAGGTTAGAACTGTTAGTCCACATACTGTCTAGGTTAGAACTGTTAGTCTAAATATTGTCTAGGTTAGAACTGTTAGTCTGAATATTGTTTAAGTTAGAACTGGCAGTCTGAACATTGTCTAGTTTAGAACCGTTAGTCTGAATACTGTCTAGGTTAGAACTGTTAGTATGAATATTGTCCAGGTTATAACTGTTAGTCTGAATATTGTCCAGGTTAGAACTGTTAGTCTGTATATTGTCTAGATTAAAATTCTGAGTCTGGATACTGTCTGGATAGGAACTGTTAGTCTGAATACTGTCTAAGTTAGAACTGTTAGCCTGAGTACTGTCAAAGTTAGAACTGTTAGTCTGAATACTGTCTAGGTTTAAACTGTTATCATGTATACTGCCTAGGTTTGAACTGTTCATACGATATAATAGCTTGACATTGTAACTACCAAACCCACAACACAGAATCATCCATTTCAACCAATCCATTCACCAACTACTACGGCTACAAACAACTACCTAGTTTGCGATATCAGTCAGCATCCATTAACATATCATCTACCAAACAACCAAGAATTATTGGAATTGTGAAGAGGCCACAAGTATTGGAGCCGAAAATGTGTGATATTTCTCGCTAGCGATACCATCTAAGAAGAAACAATTCTAATCACCATGCAAAAGTACTGACGAAGATATTATGACCTTTGTGTCGGCGGACATGCTATATAGCTTATAGAATTCAGTGCACTGAACTACGATTGGCATTTCTTTTGTTTGATACCATCGTTCATTTGAACAGATCAATTCTTCTGGGAGTGCTGGAAACGGTTCAATAATAGAATAATAAAATGATTACAGAGACAAAATGATTTCTGTATTAATAATCGATTAATTGATGAATTAATAAAACACGTGTCCATTTTACCACGATCATACCTGTATTAAACTCGCTTGAAATTGTTTAATATCCGTCAAAATGTGACTTTTATGGTCAAAGCCTTTTAATTCATCTGGATAATCGATGTTTCGAACTGATTTGTTTTAATAAAAGTATAGTTTGGTGATGGTATGTTTTTTTTTATTGCAAATATTAATTGTAATATTTTTGATTGGGCGTGCACAGCATTGAGGTAATAGACAGGTGCAGAACTCAAACTTTATTAGGTTTTGTTTGTTAGTATTATGAAATCACGTAACCTACCAAAAGGATGGTCGCAAAAGGCAAAATAATGCGGTTACTTGTTAATGTTAGAAGCATAATCAGATCTACTTTTAGAATTGTTCTCAGAGCGGATATTTTTAATGACTAAGGCTATCACTTCCAAATAAACTCATCAGTTAAACCAACTAATAGTTTATATTTTTGATTCCCTTTATAAAGTGACAAGCTTTTCCTTATGTTTCACACTTGAAATGGTTCTATCGGTGTACCGAAATTTAATTTCTTGCATTGATTACGATTGATTGATGAAAAGTAATTAGTTCGAAGCTTACACAATCTCTTATCAAACTCATGATAGCTACTTTTGACACTCGGCAGCCAGGGAATGAATGTTAGAAAGCTTGTTTGTAAAATTAAAAAGATGCTATTGTTTGCGTCGACTCCGAATTTCATTACTTTATGTATGTACCATAATTGTCTGAAAATTTTCAAGTGTTGTCAGTAATTCGTATGATACACAATAAATCGTAAAGACAATAATTTTTGGATGTTCATGTTAAGAATTACTTTTTTGTTGCGTGATTGAAACTGAAAAAAAAAAATTCTGAACACATAGCACGAATTTATCCGATCTACGACGGAATAAATTGTGCAATTAGAATTCGAATGTTCAGACAGATTGGATTTAAAAAGGTTACTTTGAAATGTAACATGAAATTGTGCATGATTATATTCGCCCTAGTTTAATGATTATTCAGGAAGCGACGGATACAATAGAATTTCAATTTATATGATGTACGCCCTGATAATTGTCGCTAGGTCATGAATAATTGATGAAATAGTAAAGAGCATGGCTCAGTGAAATATTGTGTATACTATACTAGAACATTAATAACGCTTTGTCAACCCAATATGTGAAATAACTTGGATAACGTTATCATAAAGTATGATATTATTCTTTATAAAACGTTTTTTTATAATTCAAACACTTTAAAGTCTAAAAATCAATAGTTAAAATAAGGCTGTAAATATCTCCTAAAATTGTCAAACTTGGCCAAACAATATGTCAATTAAAGGTGTTAAAAGGATGTCATTTCCGTTTTAACTGGATTAAGTTTCGCAGCTCGTGTTAATCTTCACGCATCGCCGCTAAATTAGCTAATATTAACTCTTAATGCACCACAGAACTGTACAACTCGTAATCACCAACTACGAAAGATTTTCTCGCTATTTCGCATGACGAAAAGTTAAAACATAAATCTTATGACATGGAGATTTACTTCACTGTTTCTTTAGCAATAAATAATAACAATAATGCTTAGTAAATCTAAAGAAATGGGGAGATCCTGATTGACGAACATCGACGGAGATAAACTGTTATAATTGTTATTTATGCAAGGGTGTTGATGCAATTTGCTTGGATCTAATGAGAGTTAAGACTATTAAGCTACTATGTCCGTTTAAAAAGTAATATGTATAGATCTTTAAAAAAAAAAGGTACTGCCAGTATCGAACAAATATATTCAAAATAACGGGTTTATAGTAATTACATGGTCAACAATGTTAATTGGCAATATGTAATATATTTTATATTTTTCATCTAAAATTGCTCAGAATATTCATGATTACGTTGAATGGGTTCCTGAAATGTGGTGTCTTTTGATCACAACTGACAATCAAAATAATTTTATGTTACCTTTTATGTTCTAGATTGAACGATATTCAAGTCTTCATGGATATTTGAACACGGATATTTAGAACCGAGGAGAATTTCAGTCCAATTTCTACGAGTTTAAGGACGTAACCTGGTTCAATTCATAGTTTTACGATAAATAACACGTTTCAACTATTGAGATACAGGACATGACTTACCAAAGTTGAACTAGTACGACAGCCCTCACAATCACAAACAGTTGGATGTACTGACAATATTCCTTTAGCTAACAATAATTTCAAACTTTTTCCATGATGCCTGATAGACCTCTTCCAATCCTTGGCAGTTTCTCTGCCGGACACATACTGGAATTCATTGGGCGATAGCCACGACCCTTGAAAGTATATACACGGCCCTTTACTGCCTTGACAGAGTTTAGATAAGTATAGTAGAGCTTTATTTTGTCCACATTCCACTTCTAAAATCACTTCACCATCCTTAATAATAGGTTTAATATATTCCTCGGCGTCCTCCGCCATCGTAGGCTGGGGAGGCACTGTCACAGTTCCCGTTGTTTTAGATCGCTCCTCACTAACGGAGTTCACAGAAGTTTCTGAAGGTCCCTCATTATTCCGTACTGGTTCTTTCTGTGGGTGGTCTTCCTTTTCCTCCGAGCTTTCACCCGCCGCTAACTTCCCCATAACTTTTTCAAACTATCTTCACTGTTAAATCATACAAAACCACGCCTTCTTGAAATCAAAAACAGTTTTTGTGCAACAAAGTCAAAGCGTGAACGTGCATCTATAGTGTAATGAGAGCGAATAAAACTCACTCATTGATATATCCGTTGAAAGCTCGTTGGGTATTTTCAATAGTCGTAGCACGCGTTCAACTTGTCAATGAGGAATACAAACGTCGACTAACGATAGCTGTTAGAGGGGCTATTAGACACACTCGTTCGCCACAGCTTGGATTTATGCTGATAGACGGTGATTAAACGAGAGACAAAACTATGAAATGAGAGCGTCCGAGCGGCAAGATCGTGGCGTGAACAGCTATTCACTGATCAATCAATACAAATAATTCCGCCGTGGCCCGCCCTTATCATACTTCACGTAGCTTAGGGCTCGTCACGGAAACACTAATTCCACACGGCTGAAGTTCAATACTTATCGCCAATAAAGAAAATATTCGAGCTGAGCGTGGTATGCACGACTTATACTGAAACTTAATACGGTAGTAATCGGCAATAGCCTGACGACGGTAATGAACTGGTTGCGTGCGTGTCTCGTCTTACCACTTATACGGAACTTTGGTGAAATGAGTTGAAATCCGACAGAGCACTTGAAGACCGGGGATATTGTAGTACAGTTTGTTAATAGAACAGTAGAAAAGTGAGTTCACGTAATACCCCTACCATATTCTTCTACTCCATTCAAGCGAATGGAAGGAAATTGACAATCGGACTAAAAGGTTACCGAATGAGAAACAATCCACCCTAAGGCGCTATCACTTTGTTAGGCCATCTATTTTCCGCTTGTACGCGATCAATATTGAGCTAGGTCGCGCTCTAATCATCTAAAAGACGCCGACTCGAAAAATTCTTTAGATAGAAAGCACGTTTACAAGCGAGACGTATCTCCGACACACTGAATTAACGAGAGACGCCTTATTGAAAATTTTGTCATTTGGCGTGAATATAAAACAATTTTACGTGATCTAGCTATCTTTTGGTGGCGAATATCTCTGACAAACCTCAACACTCCCTCTTCACTTATCAAGATTAAAGGTAGCAGTTATACGTGAGGTAAACCTGTTTGAAAACGATAATAGGTCGGTGGAAAGAGTTTAAATATTACGGTCGTGGCTGCGAAGGGAAGACAGCGGATGATTAAATGAAATTTATGACCGTGAAAGGCGTTTTCAGCATCAGCACACCACAATTAAATCCATTCTGTACTCGACAACCTTAAATATCGACATTCGTCGGATATGTTAAAATACCAGGCGACAACCGACTATATATCGAAGAATTTAACGAGTTTTATCTTTCGATTTAAGATCACCTCGACTACCGATGAAATAAGGAGGTATTACGCACTTTTATTGATAAGTAAGTGTTAATGGTAGATAATAAAGCAGATTAAACCTTGGGTACGCCTCAAATTCATTCGTGGTATTTACATTTCATATCATGTAGTGGCCGATTTATATTTACTGTGCAACGTATTCAGTGTTTTGAAGTATTGATAATAAAACACTTTCCCGACATAAAACTAAATATTTTATAACTTTTAAATTCACTCTCCTACTATGGTAAATAAACCGTTGGACTTCACAGCAGGAGATCGTCTTCACCGGAAATTAGTCGTTCAAAGACGTCACTTAATCTACCTCCCAATTTCCCATTGAAGGCTGCAATGTGAAGCCTCGGATATGAGCAAGAATCAAAGCCCTAGCAATAGTGAATATGATCCATTATGGCTTGCCAAGACGGAGACCTACATACTGTTCTGGTGAACTCAATGTATGGCGTGATCTGAATTATAACAGATATAACAAAAGCAGAGCTATCTCGACTCCAAACAAACGGGACAAGCCATT